ATATATATATATATATATATATATATATATATAAGGATACAAAAGGATATTTATATAAGTTCTAAAATAACTTAAAATAAAACTAAAACTAATAATGATATTTCGTATCGAATGAAATGACATTCAGACATTTTTAAATACTTTATGTACAAATGTTGCAGTAACAGATAATTGTGAAGATCTAATCTCTCAAAATATTTATCATTAGGATTAGAGTTTAATAAACTTTTTGTATTATTATTTCAGCTAGTTGCCAAGCAACATCTTATTTTAATTTAGTTTAACTTGATGTACTAAAATAACTAAAACTGTAATAAAAATGAATAAAAACTATGTAGACATACAAATCATAAAAATGAAAAAAATTACACACAAAAAATAAAATTACGTTACACAATTATAATGCACATATCCATATCCAAATATTAACAAAAACTAATAGTATCTCAATGATACTAACGTAACACTGAAGCAACACAATTCTTGAATATTTTATCAGCTTAATTTGAATCCACATTTCTGTTTCTGATCTAGAGAGTAAATGTTGAAATTAAGTGTAATTTTCTGTGTTTTTGAACAAAAGCTATTGGTGTTTAATGTTGAGTTCTGCTGGGGATTTAGAAGAGGTTTTGTGCTTCTTATTGTGCCGAAGAGTGGAGATTGAATTCATGTTGAGAACATCAGTGTGAAAACGAATGCATATGGAGCTTTATTCAATGAAAATGTTATAGTGGTTTGCATGAACTCTTGCATTGTTTTCATTTAACTTTCACTGTCTTATCTTCATTGTATCAAAAGAGCGGCATGAACATTCCGAAAATTCTTCTTTTATGTTCCGCAGAAGAAAGAAAGTCACACAGGTTTGGATCAGCATGTCTGAATGATGACAGAATACTCCCATGTCTTTCTCTGATAATCAGGATTGCAAACAGCTGATGGATGTGAGAAGAGAAGTCTCTCTGCAGGTTTGAGCAGCGACGGCTCTCCTGGGAATACAGCCCATCCGTCCGTCAAATCTATTCTGAACAGAAACTGAGACGCTACGGCACGGTCACTGCAGTCTCATCTTTGAAAGCATTATCAACAAATTCCAAATATCATTCAAGGTTATTATACACTCAAAAACATTTAGGCCTAAATTTAAGATTTATGTATTTCAATTGCATAATGTCCATCTATTAGAGTTTTAACATAAACAAACTAATAAACTTAATGTAAAGCATTTTTTTTTCCAGTAATAAAAAATAAAACAGGTAAGATTTCTACTTTCTAAAAGTGCTAATAAACTAAATGTGTTTATATATTCATCAATAAATCCAATTTGTTTCAATCTCGTGCATTTATGTACTTGAATATTGCTTGTTCCAAGCTAGCCATATTTAACCAGGTTCATACTACGAAAAAATGTGCAATATGCAATTCTATGCAATTAAAATAAATGCATTATTGCATTAACGCAAGTTTATTAGTTTGTTCAAAGCTGTGTAAACCAAATGGATGAGAATTTTTTATGCAATTAAAATCACTAAATTTTTTTTCTTTACTGTAGTAACATAAGCTTAAAACAAACTTTAACTGGAATAAAATAAAATATATAAAAGCTTAAACTTATTTTATTTCAGCTAGTTGCCAAGGCAACATTTATTATTTTTATTTAGTTTAACTTGATGTGCTAAAATAACTAAAACTACATAAACCTAAAATAAAAACAATTATAAAAATGACAAAAGAAAATCAAAATTAATAAAACTTCCTTTATTACTAAAATTAAGGTAAATATAAAATATAAAAACTCAAAATATGAACAAAAACTGTAGTAGTATTTCAATGATACTAAAATAGTACAGGTACCATGTATTTATATGAAATTTCATGAATTAAATCTTAATATTTTAACTTCCACTGCCCAAAGCAATGTACATCAATATGTATTTCAAATAAATGCATAAATATTTACATATGTTACACATTTGCACATTTGTTATGATGTTTAATCGTCTCGTCGCATTGAAATCGTGTGACATCTGCTGCTCAAATCAGGCTTATGAGCACAGCCAAAGAAAATGAGAGGTGCTCCTTTACATTTAAAAAACGAGTCTGATATTATTTGCCTCATCTTGTTCAAATGTCAGACGCTGCCCTCGAAAACCTCATTAATGAGCATGAAGCAAGCAGAAAGAGTCCGACAGCCAGAGCTGTGCTGATTATGAGTTCAGGAGAGAAATAAAAGAACACTGTGTCTCTCACCCCGGGTAGAGTCTTTTGTTCGTGGAGAGCGCTCTGGGCCTTCAGCGCTGATTCTCTGGCACAGTACGTTAGAAAGGCACATCCTGAAACACACACACACACACACATACAGGTCAGCCCACTTAACACTTCATCTGTGTGAGTCACTAAACACATTCAAACACCATTAGAAAACATAAAAATCTAGCTTCTTTTAAAGCATGTCTAGATTTGTATTAGCTTTACCTTGACAGGCAACAGTTGCTTAATCATAAAGAGACATAAAGAGTACAAAATCATGCAGAGAGACACATCTAAACCATTATGCAAATGACAGCAATATTCAAAATCACACTGTACATTTTCAATGTCAATTTACTTCTCAAGCACAATTTAAAACAACAAAAGTTGACCAAAGTGTGGTATAAAAATCAAGTATAAATCAAAGTATAAAATAAAATAAAAAATAAAAAATAAAATAAAATAAAATAGCATTTTTACAGTGAACAGTAGCTTGGTTTCAGACTGCAAAGAGACATGAAGAATTAAAAATCATACAGAGATTTTCAAAGTTGACCAAAGTGTTGTATAAAAATCAAGTATAAAACATAAGGTATAAAACAAAGTATAAATCATAAAGTATAAAGAAAAAAGAAAAGAAAAATAACACATACAATAAACAGCAACGTAAACAAAATAATCTCTATTTTTCAAATAAAAGCCAGAAAGACCAAATGAGTCTTTAACTTAGATTTAAAGTCATAAAGTATAAAGTTGGAGCATGTCTAATGTGAATGTGTAGAATGATTCACAGTTTCAAGGCTTCAAAGAGACATAAATAATTAAAAATCATACAGAGACATCACACGTCTGACGGTTATGCAAACAACAGCAATATTCAAAATCATATTAATTGGACAAATAGCAGAAAAAATCTCCACATATGCATTTTCAGACACCTTCACCTCCAAAGTAGCACTGCAAATTAATGTGAACATGCTTAAACACCAAAAGCAAATGTCTCTGAGAGGCATTTCTGCAGCAGCGGCACAATTTCTCATCGCTTTACAGCAGACGCGTTGAAGTGCCCTCCTTAGGGACCACGAACACACGCGGCACCCATCGGCCAAACCTGCAGCGCTCAAGTGGAGATACTTCACAAAACTCAGCAGGCTTTACTTTACAGCTCAAGTGTGTTGGTCTCATAAACATCTTACTACAAACTACATTTTTTATATTTATTTTGCTATCATAACACATGCATTTACTTTTATGCACTTGACAGACATTTTCATCCAAAGCATCTTATATACCTTATGCAAAGAAAATATATTTCCTTATTTATTAACGGTCAGTATATAAAATCCTTTAATGTATATTAAAAATATACAGAATAAAATATTGTGTTAATATATTATAATAGAATAATACATATGGAATTGCCGCCTTTCTTGAAAAATAAGTGACAATATATAAAACCTAGCAATGTAATGTAGGTAATATTTACTTGTAATGTAATGTAATTTTATATTTAATCATTTATATTCTATAGAATATAGAATAACACTTTATATTCTATAGATGTACTTGTGTTAAAATAAGGTACTGTGGGTATAAATCTATTTAAACACACACACACACACACATATATATATATATATATATAT